CATTGATAGTGTAACGCTTTTACTTTTTTAATGGTGTAATTAAGAATAATTATTCACAATTAGTTGCAGGATGCTAGCTTTTAGGAAAAATACAGTGGACTACTTTATTCTATTAATCCTGGGAGTCAAGCTGATGGTTAAGTAGCTGCCTAGCGCCCCTTACAAACATTTTGTCATCTGCACAAAGAGCAGGGAGATGGGAGTATCCTGAGGCCTCCAGAGAATATGCATGTACACCATTCTCGCTCGTCTCAAGGCCACAGGCTGGCATCTGGAATAGAACTTCTCTCCTGGTTAGTGCAACAAATGATCTCATATTCTTTTTAAACTAGTGTCGTCGCAAAACTATTGTAGATAAAAGTGGTTTTACACACATTAAAGAGATTCTTGTTCATGATGCAGAGATAAAAATTTTCAAGTTTGCCTTGTAAAACTTTATTTATAAAAGCCTTTTTTTTTTAATTTATTTTTTATTTTTATTTTTTTTTTTTGCAACATAGCTTATATGTTGAAGACTTCTTTTACCATTACAGATGAGGAAGCTGATAAGGTTATAAGTAATTGTGTTGGTCATCCTTATGGAACTGAGGATGACAGGGCTCGACAGGATGAATTCTGCCTCTTCACCTCTCACATCTTGTACCTCGACCACCTTCCTGATTCCAGCGTGTTGGTGTCTATAGTACATACAAAAGGTATGAACGAGCTCTATGTTTTGTGTTTGTATACGTACGTAATTGTAGAGAACATTGGGAGTAATGAGTGCAGTTTACTTTGGACAAGATATTTTCATTGGTTTAGTTGCAGCAAACACAGATCTCTGAAAATTTTACTAACTATAATGATCAGTTTTCCAATCTTTTTCACTGTATGGCCCCTGACCAATATATAATAATCTCCATGGTCGCGGTAATTGTGTATCATCTTTTCAAATTCAGTTACTTCTTTTGGTATTCTGTGGTAGCTAGCTGGCAATTCTGCTTCCTGAATCAGCAGATAGCCAAAACTAAGAGACAAGGAGGGCACTCACCATGAGAGAGGCAGAGGGAGAGGCAGCTCATCTGCTGCCTCCACACTACCATTCCATAAACGTACCCCTGATGCGCCCTCATCACACACTAAGAGGACACTACTAATGATAGATGTTATTCCTGGAACTAATAAACATAATATGATGAGAAATACATCTCAATCACAGCTGCAGCATTTGTTTATTCGTATGAAATGCTTCATGAGGTACTGTACTGTGATGACACGTGGTACTTCTATAATCATCTTCAGTTATTGCCATTAGTACCATGCAAAAGGGGGGGACCAGGTACCAGCTACACTTCAGAATACCATGCAAATGCCATAGAATGCATCAAGATTGACACAGAGATCAGATTAAAAAAAAGGGGGGGGGAGGAAAGTTTCCTCAACTTCAAAGCCTGATATTTTTTTTTGTCATTCCGTAACAACTACTTGGCTGATTCTAATCTAAGCATACTTAACAAACTTCATTCTAGAGTGCGACAGCCCCTTAAAGTAAGAATTTGAGGCCTGCTTGTCTAAGGTAAAGACTTAGTCTAAAATTCTATTTGCATACATTCTATTTTATTAGTTCTTATGTACTGCTCACTTAGTCATTGATTAACTATTGTCATTCAAAACTAATTTTGCCCAGCAGTTGGTCAAACAAATCCTGGTATTCGGGCCCTGTCCAGTGCGCCTGCCTCGAAAAACAAACACAATCAATCCCCATACATCTGAACCAAAAGCAAGGGGGCCGGCCACAGAGCTATATATTAACAAATTTCATGCTTTTGCATGAATGGGATAGTGAAGTGTCCCTTCCCACCACTAGCTTCCAGTCTATCCTTGGGCAAGGTAGAATAACTGAAAGCCTCCCTCTCTAGGGTTACAGATCCTGTCTGGTCAGCAAGGGCATGAAGGAGAACAGGCGGATGAATCTTTGGATCAACAGCTGTTTTATCCAACTCTGTTAAGCGGATGATCACTGTGGTGACAACGGTTAGCAGAACAGTCCCAGTTAGCGGGAATTGCTGGGTGTTGGTAGTTCTAGGGGCCTGCCACACCTATTAGCCCCCGAGGAAAACTATGACAATGCAACAAACTTCTGATTCAGACCTTGGCAAACGGGGTGTTGGAACCTTTGGTGATATCAGTCCAGCCCGGTGGGGGGACTGTGGTAAAGCAGACAGACCCTCATCGTCATCATGCTACTGTTTCAACATCAACATTGCTACTTGGAATGTAAGAGGACTAAATCAACCTGTTAAATTGACAAATGTAATACAGGAGATGGAAGAACTAAATGTGGATATCCTGAGCATGGCAGACACATTCTGGAAAGAAGCAGGTGAATTTACAAGCATCTTAACATCAGATAACAAATATAGTGATATTTTCTGGATGAGATAGAAGCAGGAGAGGTGTGGCATTTATACTGAAAGAAACAGTTACTAGCAAGATTTTGTATTATAATACTTACAGTGAAAGAATAATGGCCTTGAAATTGAAAGGAAACAGAAATTATATACTTGTTATCCAGATTTATGCACCTAATGATGATGACAGCGATGACGAGAAGGAAGAATTTTATGAAGAGCTCAATAACATCATTTCAGAATAAGAAATTTACTGACACTTGGTTCTAGGGGATTTCAATGGAAGAGTAAGTAATAGAAAAGAGGATAATATTTGTGGCCAGTTTGGACTTGGTGATGCAAGAACTGATAATGGAGAGCGAATTGTTGAATTTTGCAGAAGGACTAAGTTAGTAGTGGCACATGGTTCCAACAGAAGGAAAAAGCTAGACACACTTGGACATCACCAGATGGACAAACTAAGAATCAAATTGATTACATCCTAGTCAGTGCCAGATTTAGAAACCGCATAAGAAATAGTAGAAGTAGACCTGGTGTGTACTGCGGTTCAGATCATAACCCAGTTATAGTAAACCTCAATATCAGACTTAAGAATATCAAGAAGAAAAATTCAGATGTCAAAAGATGGAATGTGGATGCTCTAAAGCAAGAAAGTGTAAGAATGGAATATGCTGAGAAAATGGAAGATAAAGCGAAGAACATTTTAGAAGAAAACTGCCAAAATGTAAATCAGACCTGGAAGTGAATGAAAGAATGTATTACTGAAGTTGCTGAAAACATAATTGGTACAAAAGTAGTAGACAGAAAACAACAATGGATGACTTATGAAATCTTAAACATGATGTCAAAAAGAAAAGAGATGAAAAACCAGGGAAAAAAAGATGAACTAACAGTAATGAATAGGGAAATAAAGAAGGAATGTAGGAAAGCGAAAGAGGAATATTACAAGAAAAAATGCAAAGAACTGAAAGACTTAGATGCAATTCATAGTCCACATGTCTATAAGAAAATTAAGGAATTCAAACCAAGGAAACCTAAGATCAACTTAGGAATTCAAGATAAAAATGAACAGCTGTTGAATGAAGATGAACAAATAAATAAAAGATGGGAAGAATACATAGGAGAAGGACTTTATTATGATGATAGACCTGAAAACACTGAGTGTCACCAAAATACCAAAAAGTTAAAGAAATACATTACTGAAGAAGAACTACAAGATACAATTAAGAACCTACCCAAAATAAGGCAGAAGGGTTTGATAATATTCCAGCAGAATTTTACCAAAACCTGGACACTCAAGGAAGAAATGTTATGCTCAAAGTCATTAAGGAAATTTATGAGACTGGTTTTCTCCCTGAAGATTTTGTGCAAAGTATTTTCATATCTATACCTAAAGTTAATAAAGCCAAAAATTGTGGTGACTTTCAAACAATTAGCCTAATCAGTCATGCTTCAAAAATACTTCTTCATATAATTAAAATAGAATCACACCCATAGTTGAAGGCAGCATTAGTGAAAGCCAGTTAGGGTTTAGAAGTAGAAGAGGAACAAGAGATGGACTTTTCAATTTAAGAACAATTAATGAAAGGATGATAGAAAGCAGAAAAAAATAGTTCTTTGTTTCATAGATTACACTAAAGCTTTTGACAGAATTAATCATGTTAAACTGATAACAATCATGAAAAAAGCAAATTTTTCGGATCAAGATAGAAGAATAATTGCAAACCTATAATGGAACCAAAAAGCAGTGGTAACAACAAGTGGTGATACAGAAAAAATTAAAATCAAAAGAGGCATAAGACAGGGATGCATACTGTCACCTATACTCTTTAACCTTTTATAGTGAATCCCTAATACAAGAGGCATTAGAAACAACCAAAGGCATTAAAATTAATGGAATCAACATACCTAACATCCGATATGCAGATGACACTGTCCTATTAGCAGCAAGTGAATATGAATTATATGATTAATAAATTTTGTGATACTTGTGCTAATTATGGTATGTCTCTGAATGCAAAGAAAACAAAAGTGATGATTATAAGAAAATGTAATGAAGATCATGCAGCGGTTAATATCAAGCCAGAAGGAACTAGACTCGAGGAAGTAGAAGAATACAAATACTTAGGGCAGTGGATAATAGCAGATGGAAGATGCTTAGAGGTAGTAAAAGAAGAATTGATAGAGCCAAAACTGAATTCTGGGAGCTGAAAGAACTTAATATACGCAAAGACCTCAACATTAAATTGAAAAGAGGATTCTAGAAACCTGCATCTTTTCGATAGTCAGCTATGGCTCTGATAGTTGGACATATGGAAAAGAAGTCATCAGAAAAATAAGAGCTTTTGAAAACTGGTGCTATAGGAGAATTTTGAGAATTAGCTGGAAAGATCATGTAACAAATGAAATGGTTGAACAACGGATGGCTGCCAGATGAAGTTGGCAACAGGTTGTCAAAGGAAGGCCAGGTTTGCAGGGCACATAATGAGAGGATCTAGTGGAGCGCTGGCTAGTCTAGTTATTGAAGGTACCATCGAAGGAACTAGGGGCAGAGGAAGACCTAGAAGAACTTGGGGAAAGGACATAACACATGGACTAAAACGGAAAATCTCGGGAGTGCCAAGAGAAAAGCGAAGAATAGAAGTTTGTGGCGCACACTTGTCAACCTTCGGATCGAAGAAGACACTGGATGATGATGAAAACTATAAACCATAACCAGAGACCTACTTAAGTTCACTTTTTCTCAGAAATCCCAAGGAGTTGGGGGAGAGTTCTTGGGTGTGTTAGAAATGTCTTGAGGTCCTGTGTGGCTTAGGCAATGTTGCATTTTGATAAGGGTCCCAATAAGGGGTCAGGATGCGAAAACCCCTTAAAATACCGCTTAAATTTTAAAGCAACAGTACATGGTTGCAGGTTTATTTAGGATGCTATGGAAACCTATCACAGAGTAAATTACTAAATTAGACTGGGTACAGTATGAAAATTTCGTAACTCTTATAGACTCCTTATGGACCCCTTAAATACACCCCTAAACAACGGCAAGGGTTACAGAGGTGATCCAGGGTGCTATGGAAAGCTATCAGAGAGTAAATGAGAATGGATATGCTTTGAGTACTCGTTGTTCCCTTATAGACCTCTTATAGATCCCTTAAACACCCCTAAACAAAGGAATGGCTTTGGGGGATGATCATTGTGCTATGGAAAGCCATGATAAAGTAGGGGCAATTAGGCACAGTTTGAGATCTTGCATTCCCTTTGAATATAGTGGGCATAGGTACATGCGTCACCTTTTTGTAGG